TGGAGCCATTTGGAGCCGTGGAGCCATTTGGAGCCATTTGGAGCCGTTTGGTAGCCGTGTGGAGCTGTTTGGAGCCATTTGTAGCCGTGGAGCCATTTGGAGCCATTTGGAGCTGTGTGGAGCCTTTTGGAGCCGTGGAGCCTTTTGGAGCCGTTTGGCGCTGTTTGTAGCCGTGTGGAGCTGTTTGGAGCCATTTGTAGCCGTGGAGCCATATGGAGCCATTTGGAGTCGTTTGGAGCCATGGAGCCATTTGGAGCCTTTTGGAGCCGTGGAGCCTTTTGGAGCCGTTTGGCGCTGTTTGGAGCCATTTGTAGCCGTGGAGCCATTTGTAGCCGTGGAGTCGTTTGTAGCCGTGGAGTCGTTTGTAGCCGTCAAGCTGTTTGGAGCCATTTGGAGCCTTTTGGAGCCGTTTGGAGCCATTTGGAGCCTTTTGGAGCCGTTTGGAGCCATGGAGCCATTTGGAGCTGTTTGGAGCCATTTGTAGCCGTGGAGTCGTTTGTAGCCATCAAGCTGTTTGGAACCATTTGGAGCCTTTTGGAGCCATTTGGAGCCGTTTGGAGCCATGGAGCCATTTGGAGCCATTTGGAGCCGTGGAGCCTTTTGGAGCCGTTTGGCGCTGTTTGTAGCCGTGTGGAGCTGTTTGGAGCCATTTGTTTGCGTGGAGTCGTTTGTAGCCGTCAAGCTGTTTGGAGCCATTTGGAGCCTTTTGGAGCCATGGAGCCATTTGGAGCCTTTTGGAGCCGTGGAGCCTTTTGGAGCCGTTTGGAGCCGTGTGGAGCTGTTTGGAGCCATTTGGAGCCGTGGAGACGTTTGTAGCCGTCGAGCTGTTTGGAGCCTTTTGGAGCCGTGGAGCTGTTTGGGGCCATTTGTAGCTGTGGAGCCGTTTGGAGCCTTTTGGAGCCATTTGTAGCTGTCTGGAGCGGCTGGACGCTGAGGCCTATCAATCATAAGAGGGGAGTGGAAGTGGCGCAGATGTGAACTAAACGAGGTCAGCTCTCTGCAGACAGACCTGAGTTCTTCTTCATGGCAGAAATGATGAGCTGCTGCGGCTTCCTCTGCAAACATCCATCATTTCCTGAGCAGCTGCTCTGGAAAAGCTTTGATTAAAGAGGCCGACTCCTGCTAATGGAGCAGCCGCTAACCGCTGGATGTTTCTCCCTCTAACAAGCTTCTCAACCAAACACAAACATGACCTTTGACCTCCAGACGCTACAAACATCTGCCTGGCTAAATAAACCCTCCAGGTTTTGCCCGCCTGATGACCTATGACCCCACCGTCGTCGTCTGCAGAGCGAATCAGAGCGTGAAGCGACGTCATCAAGGCTCAGACAGGAAGCAGGAAGTGGACCGTAACCGTGGAAACGAGCAGAACATCAATCAGGAGGAACGAGGCCAGATCACCGGGGAGGAAGCTCTGATTGACGAGCGCTTCCTGAACGCTAACGAGACCCGGGAAACGACTCGGACCCGCCAGCGCCTGACCGGGTCGAACGTCTAAACGAGGCTCCAGACTCTAAACCGGACCGGCTGTTTCATCCAGTCCAGAACCAGCCTGGGTTCTGATCGCTGTCCAGCGGGGTCCAAACATCCAGAAATGATCTCCAGATCAATTTGAAACAAATTCTTTAGCACGGTAGTGGCAGCGTCATGCTGTGGATGGTCAGTCGGGTCGGACAGACGTGTGGACTTACCCGGGACAGGACGACCTCCAGGGTGATGTTCTGAGGAGGAGCGCTGGGAACTGCAGAGACACACACACACACACACACGCATCAGATTCAGAACTTTGTACAAATAAAATCAGATTTAATGACCAAACTTCAATCGGCTCCTTCATCATTTATTTCTCAGTTAGTGAATAAATTTCAGACCGACTCGTTGCTGCTTCAGTAAAAACAGAACCAAATTGTTTAATCTGAAGCTACAAAATGTTTCTGTCTGGGACTCCTGAATTAGGCTGTGGGCAGCGTTAGTTCTCCGTAGGTCACACACAGAAACCAGCTGGGAGTTTGTTTTATTTACTGCCATCAATCACACCTGATGACTTCAGCTGAGGCGGGAAGCAGATGGACTGATGCTGCGGCGCTCAGCAACACCGACAGACTGAGCCAGCAGGGCGGCGCCGCTCACCAGACCACAGAGTTTCACTCTGCTCACCATACAATAAAGATTAACAAAAAACATTTTGAAACAATTTTTTTTTTTTTTTTTTTTACAACACCCAAAAAAAAAAAAAAATTTAAAATTAAAAAAAAAATAAAAAAAAAAAAAAAAAAAAATTGTTTCAAAATGTTTTTTGTTAATCTTTATTGTATGGTGAGCAGAGTGAA